GAAGAGAAGGCTCTGGGGAGACCTTAGAGCAGCTTCCAGTGCCTAATGGGGCTGAGAAGAAAGTTGGAGAGGGACTGTTCACAAGGGTAAGTAGTGATAGGACCGGGGTGATGGCTTTAAACTGAAAAAGGGTAGATTTAGTTTAGATATTAGGAAAAAGTTCTTAACTGTGAGGGTGGTGAGACTCTGGCACAGGCTGCCCAGAGAAGCTGTAGCTGCCCCTTCCCTGGCAGTGTTCAAGGCCAGTTTGGACAGGGCTTGGAGCAACTAAGTGCTCCAAGTGGAAGGTGTCCCTGCCCATGGCAGGGGGTTAGAACTAGATGGTCTTTAAAAGGTCCTTTCCAAACCAAACCAGTCTATGGTTCTTTGGGTCTACAATTCTATTATTCTATGATCCTATTACAAGAATATATTATGGAACAATCACAGACCTCAAATACAGCTTTTCAAGTTGGGGAGGTAATCTCAGGTGTTAGAAGAGCTAAGATTATAACTGACAGAATAAAACAAGTGAAGGAGCATTCCACTAGAGAGACCTCTAGAAGACAATGAGACTCAAGCAAAGTGAAATGCCCCAGGGTTTAAAACTGCTTTTAGTGGTAACCTGATAATCAGAAAGGGATATCTTCTCCTTACTTCTTAAGACTTCCCTAGTTCCTCTCCCTGCCAAGTTGGATGGCAGCTGGAAAGTTACTAACCATATTTGATTTAAGAAAGTAAAAATGACCAGACAGATGTTTTCTCAATCTCTAATGTAGGGCTTGAAAAGAAATGGTTGTTGGAGGCTGGTTGTTACATGATCCTTGTGCATTTCATCCTGCCAGCCAGTGCACATGTTCTGGATCTCTAGTGCTTCCAATCCCACTGCAAAAGAAACTCCAAAATTTGCTGGAGTCTGAATGCAGCTCAACAGACTAAGGCCATAAATCATTTGACATTCATGCCTTATTCTTACAATTTCAGGGAACAAAAGGAATTCTCCTGTTGAAGTCCATTAGAAAACAAAACGCACTTTTAAAGACTGCATCCTTATGTGATTCAGATACAAAAGTTCAAACTAATGGCAACAGTCCACAAGCATTAAGGGAAATAACAGCAATCAATGCTATTTTTAAAGGGAAGAGTGGGGGCGAGGGGTTAACATATGTGGAATTAGCTCTGGGCAAAATGAGAAGCCATTGCATCTAAAATCAAATGCATTCTCTGAAATAGACACCAGAGACCAAATTCCCATGCAGACTCCTGCAGTCCAAGAGTTTCAGCAGAATCTGGCCTTCCTCTTAACTTAGCTTCATGAGATCATACCATGCCATCAGTTTTTATGTTGGACGCCCTACTTACTTCACATCAGTTGTTGGCACTATGTAGGCAATTTTCCAAATCAGAGGGGGAGAAAAGGATGGTGTGTGCACAAGGGAGAGGAATTTTCTTCCCATGTAGAATAAAAGCCATTTCTTAGAAGAGTTTGAGAGGGGAAAGTGATATTTGTATCCCTTCTACCAGATGTCACCAGTGGCAACAAGAGCCAGTATTAAATATCTATCCATCAAATTCTTCTTGAAATTTTTCAGCGTCAGCTGGTCAAGAACCCATTCAGAAAACTGGGAAAGCTGCAATCTTCCACAGCCATTCCTAATCAGTGGTTCTTCCCCTCACAAGAATTAATCTGTGTCTGAAACTTTTTCATGGAGAGCAGACATGCACAATTTGTAAAAGGAAAAAAGACCTTGTAGCAATAATTTTTCTTATGTTTATAGCAAGTGAAATAGCACCTCCTCCACACATACTATCTTTTGAAATAGTCTTTTGTTGCTTTTTCATCAGCTGCTGTCAGTGTTGGATGCACTAAGGTCTCGTAGGTGCCACTTCTTTCTGCTCCACGCTATGACATATTAGTAGTCGGCTTCAGTACTTGGCTAGGTTTGCCTTCCATTTATGGGGAGATGCTTTGGGAAAAAAAATGCCCTGATACTCTCACATTAAGACAGTCTCTGCACTGTCATCTCTTACTGTGCCACCACCTCAAGCTGTGATGCCAATTGCACTGTCATGTCTTGCCATATCCTACCCCTGACCATAACACTAGCATAAGCTGTCATCAACATGACTTGTCTTTCACTGTTCTGCTGCCTCAAGCCACAAGTGAGATCCAAGCTAACAGGCTCCTTACCCAGTGAAGCTATGACACTCTTGAAAGAAAGCTGAGATGATCAAATTGTTTCTATGCTACTTAAAAAAGAAGTAACTAGCACAAAGGAATTCTTGGAAACAGCACTGGCCAAAAAATTAGAAAATATAATCATTTATCTAAAAGAAACCAGAAGGTAAGCAACAAAACTGCAGTGACACTCTCACATATTGTTCCCTACTGTGATGCTGCTATTGAAATTTTTCTCTCAAATCTAATAGCAAAGATCTTTCATGAAGAGTTTAGGGACTTCTGTCTCAGGGACAGCTGGGCAGATCACAACCCCTTTGCTTCACACATACACAACTAAGCAGGATGTCAGAACCTTGCAAAACTGTAAGATTTTCTCTGGAAACGTACCAGACAAAATACTCTCCCCAACCAACTGTTCCAGTGGACAGACATAATATTATTTTACCTCCTGTAGCAACAAATTCACTGTGTAGTTTGGGTTTGGGGTATTTTACAAACAACAGATCGGACATTCTGGATGACAAAACAACTACTATCTTCCCTAAATGGTTTACTACATAAACATGTTTGACTGGGGTATTTTTAATACTTGTTTTGTTTAGTGTTCTAATGAAGAAACTCTATCACATGTAGCGTCTACAGATAATTTATCACATTTAAACATCCATTAAAGGCATCTCTTCAGAAGTTAGTAGTGTTTCGTTTCATCTGACTCCTGCGATCACGCATATCAGATAGTGGGACTTTTTTTCCTGCCCTACATCATATGGAGAAGTTGGTATTTTCTGCTTAAATCAGAAGAAATTTAATATGACTCTGTCCTGTTTGCCTATCTGGCCACTTATCTTGTTTCATTTGCAAATATCATATGTATTCTCTTGAGTTAAAAATAGTGCAAGATGATTACTTAGGCAAGTTCATTTGACACCATTCCCCCTTCGTGACGCTGAAATCCAAAATCTGTATATGGTATACAACTTAAAGCATATATATGCAAGCTCAGCTCTGCTGGAGACACACAGCAAGTTTGTTCCTCCCACCTAGATTGCTTCCTTACTCAGCTGAGAAGACCACAAAGGTAAGATGATTAGATCCTCTGCTTTCAGGAAAAGAAACACAAAAGCAAAATGCTCCCTGAATGGAAAGCATCTATGCAATTGAAATACCTGTTCTTGTATCAGCTTCCAATATGTTGTCTCTTTACAAGCTAACATAGAACAGAATCAGCATTCAGATTACGGGATGGAAAAAGATGGGAATGATGCCCCTTGTGAAAAATGCTGCATTTTTAGGTTTTCCTTAAACTCTTCCTCCTTTTTAATCCTCTCAGCAGTGAGAATTAGGTGAATGGCAGAGCTCCAAATTATCTTGTCTAGTGCTGAGAGGGGGAAGTACTTTGCACAAGAAGCCACTGGCACAAAATAGATGCTAGCAAACCAAAAGTAACTCATCTGCCTTAGCTGGTACCCTTAGCTGGTACCCATTGCCATCAGCGTGGATTTCTCCATTGTCTCCTTACACCTTCAGAGCTATTAAGGGACCTAAAGGATTGGCAATTTCCTTTGCTGCAAACCAACAGGTACAAAGGCAGCCATTTCATATTTTAGGTAAAGTTTAAACCTGTGTGTAGATCTCAAACCATCTCACAGACTATAAATGGTTACAAGCATTGGTTTCCTTTTCGTGAATGCTGTTTTCATGCTCAGACAGGAAGAATGATGCTGTTGAAGATCAGAGATTCATGATAAGATATTTTTCTTCTCTTGTGGATTTCAAGAATAACTTTTCTATGCCTCAGTTCCCCTTCCCTCATTAACATGAAGCTACTTTACAGTAATGTCACCAATTGTTAATTGTAAGCAGCCTGCAGTGGTGTGTGCAGTTTACCAGACTGTAAATGTATCGATGCTATATTTACTCTAATAAACTGATTAAAAAGTCAGGCCTGTAGCATTTTCTTAAGCGACAAATATTACAGTGGCAAACTATTGTCACTGTATTGGTGGCTGAATGGGAGAAAGAGTATGTTTTATCAAATGTTACTATATCAGTGAACACCTCCTCCACTCTGCTAGGAACAAATATTAAGTCTTGATACCTCTGTTCAAAGTACGTCAATATACTGAAATGCCAAAATCTGGATAAAAATCTGGTTTATTACCACCTACATGCAATTAAAAAAACCCACCACAACATACTTAAGAAAAATTTTTTATAAAGCTATCTTGAAATGTAGTCTTTTAATGACACAGCAGCCCAGCAAGCTGAATTTATAGTATAGTTATATTTATTGTTGCAACTAAACAGAGGAGGAACTTACTCTCCAAATTTAGACTTCCTTGAAATTAGTAGAATTATTACTACTTATTCTAAACTATTGTCATTCTTTGAAAAGATCAATATATTTATTGATAATAATATTAGATTTTTTAGATTCCAATCACATTTATTCCAGATATAGCTCTAGGGGACATACTGAGCTGTATCTTTTCATGTGCGCTGGTTTTAACTGAGTAATAAACCACCTCCACAAAAACCCACACAGAAGTCACGCAGTTTTGTGGTGCTAGACACCTTTGACTTACTCCCCCCCAGTGCTGCACAGGCATCAGATCTTCCTGAAGGCCCACACTCCCACATGCAGAATTCCTCCCTCATTACCTAGCTTTAAGTGGAAGCACCTGCTGCAGACATCTGTTCCAGTACACTCTGCTTACAATTAGATGAATAATGTCTCCCCTATCATATACTGTCACAGCAGCAACTTCAAATAGAGCCATGAAAGAGGTAGAGAAGTCATTTTAATGACCAAGTAGCTCACATTTAATTTATTTTACAGTTCAACAATGGCCATCACTGACATCCTTTCTGCTAAAGATATTGAATCTGCTCTCTCCAGCTGCCAGGGTAAGGAATGGTCTCTGCAGCCAGAAGATGTGTATCATTTTTATGTCTTAAGATGACATGCCTATCATTTTCCCCTTAGATTCCTTCCCTGTGAGATCTCTTTCTACCTACATTACAGTACAGCCCCCTGAATTCAGAAAGTCTCACGAGTGATTATTTGGTGGGTAACAACATTCCCCAAAACACAGAGCAGCAATTAAAGGGTCACAGTTTCAGTTAGAGCTGGCTTACCTTTGAACTCTGATAGTTTTTAAACCTTTAAAGATTTATATTTACATAGCTAGCCTTTTCCTTCAGAATGTCAAAAAAAGCCTCAGCTTGAAGAATCAGTGTCATTTGTGAAGCAATGACCAGTCTCAGTTCTCTTTAAGAGTTCCTTGGTGAGATCAAGTCCAAATGCTCAAAGAGCTAGTTTGACTGGGAATTACCTACTTTCTACCCAAATTCTTTACTACAGTAAGGACTAAGTGAGAATGAGAGGCTGGTCTGTAAGCCACAGTAGCGCCCTCTAAATATTTATTATTAACTGCATGTCACACATTGCATAAACCCTGATTTAACAGAATGTGCATTGTAGCAGAAAACTTCAAACTGGCTAAAAGGATATATGACCATGGGCACAGAGTGATTAGAAAGGAAAATTACCCACTGTATCTTTTTTTTTTGCTACACTGTGCACAAGAGCAAGAGGAGTAGGATGATGCTTTAGAAAAGATATACATATTCCCAAGGAATATATACTGTAGTAGCAACTTCAAGGGAAGTTACTTAAACTTCTGTTTCTTCCAGCTGATGGTAGCTTCAACTGCAAGTCTTTCTTCTCCATGATTGGTTTATCCAGCAAAACTCCTGATCAGATAAAGAAAATTTTTAGAATCCTTGATCAGGACAGCAATGGTTTCATCGAAGAAGAAGAGCTTCAGTAAGTACTGTACAGCTGCATATTTCTTCAACTAGTGCAAACCTTTGAACTTGCTAGCTGTCCTAGAAGAAACTTACTGTTATAGAAAACACTATTTCTTGTCCTTCCTTGTCACGATTCCTTGTATTTCCTCAGATAATAAGAGCAGGCATTACCTTACATTTTTTTTGGCATGGGTTTAAGAAAATCAGAAATACCAATGTACCAAGGACATTTTGGAGAATAATTCTCAAGCACAACACTCTACCCTGTTCTGTTTCAGACTGTTTCTGAAGAATTTCTCTTCAAGTGCCAGAGCCCTCACCCCTGCAGAGATCAAGGACTTTATGGCTGCAGGTGACTCTGATGGTGATGGCAAAATTGGGGTAGAAGGTAAGAGTTTTAGAAATTCATAAAATTTGTGGTTTAAAATGCATCCATTTAGGGCTTCATTCAAATGATGGCATGAAGAACACATCCAAGTACTTTGGCCTGGTACTTTCTGCCACAATTTTTATACTAGTGAATACTCCTTTAGTTTCATAGCTTTATCCCTGTTTGGTTTCCCTTTATCCCTATTTGGTTATTCTCTTGCAGCAACAGCATATTTAGGCCCAATGTAGAGCCTATCCCTCCAATCCATAATATCAGCTATGGGTTCTATTCTGCTATGTGTTTGATCCATAGACTCAATGTGCCAGATTTTTAAAGCATCCTGAACACCTATCCATTCTTCGAATTTCCATTTTGGCTCTGCACTTCTGGCCATATGACACTTCCATTTTTAAACATATTTCCACCTACATAAACTTCTTTCTTCATCTACCACTATCAAACATTGGCCAATGCTACCGAGTGGTTTAATTCAGGAATGTAAGAGAAGGGTGGTATTGTTTTTCAAGGCTAGTACTGCTGCAATGCAGCACAGAATTTTGTGCTAGAGAAAGATCCTATCAGTGCACATTTCACCAGGCAGTCCTTCTATGAAAAAATAAATCAAATTCCTAAAGAAAACCTCACAGGGATGATGTGAACTGGCCAGGCTATTTCTTTTAGAAATTGCTGCAAAGGAAAATAGGACATTATGCATCATATATTAGAGATGAAGTCACTGAAAACAGGGCTGTCTCAGCTGAAGTAGGACAGGTGGCAATAACTCTAACAGACACACGTGCTAATCTTAGCCAGAGTTTGGGAGGAGAGAGAGATACACTGTTAGAGGAATTTGCTTTAGCAGCAGCTTTTACAGCTTCTGTTTATGAGCCCTAAATAGGGCATTATATTATGCAGATCTTAGCCCTTAACCATTGCATCTCCCATCCTGAAATTACAGCACTACTGATATTTTTTCTTTAGAATAACAAAGGCAAAAGATCCCTCCTACTGAAAGCTATGGGATAAACCTAAGTCACTCTTTGCTTCCTTGGCTATTATCAGAGTTTTTAACGGGTTAAAGATAGTTTACCTTTAACTCAGGATTTCCCACAAATACGGATTTACAGACACACTCCTCCTCTCTGCACTTACTCTTTTTTAGGAGTGAAAAATCTGTTACGCCCCCAGAATCTCAGTTTAGCAGTAGCTTGTGCAGTGTTATAATAACTTTGGGAGCCCTCCATGGCTAGGAGTTTAAGTAATTTTTGTCTGTCTTTTCTAAAGATGTCAAAAATGACTTTCATCTAGTTTTACTCCCTGCCTTTCTCATTTTCTTCCTTGACAGAATTCCAATCTATGGTGAAGGCATAAGCAGCATCAGGCCAAAAGCATCCTTGGACTGACTCTTCCAATTACCTCGTCCAACAAGCACTCCACACTCAGCATGTGTTTGTACATTTTTATATTGTTTCAGGCATTAACAACCCCTCGAGTTCACACACCAGATTGCTGAGAAATCTTGCAATGTACAGATGTTTGGGTCATGTGGTATTGTTACATTTCCATTGTAAAGAAAGCACTTTGTGATTGTCAACCACTCATAATGTTGAAATCATGGCTAGAAAAGGGGAGATAAAAAATAAAACAAAACAAAAAACTTGGGGGAGGGGAAAGCTGCTTTTAAGATTGTGTTTAGGTTTCCATCCTCATACTTGAGTATGCTGACTCATCAGACACAGTTCTGATGATCTTAAACAATATGACATCTTTTAAGGCTTGACTGTAGTGATTTCATTGAGTTTTATTTCTGTTTAATTCTCTGATCCTTAAGGAAAAGTAATGCTAACAACATAGTTAAAGCTAATACATATTAAGACCCAACCCTGAGAATGTGAGAAAAAAATTAAGAGGAGCTGCCAAATAGCTCAAAGCATGGAATATGTTTGTGGGTAATTTTACAGAAGTAAGTACTAGGCTACAGCATGCATCATCAGAAAGCGTTTATGGCCTAAAACATAACTCTCCCTTAAGAAGATTTATCTTTTGCAGAAATCTAAGGCAGCTGTTAGATAGAGGATAAGGGTCTAATCCTAACTGTCTTAAGTCACAGTCCCCTGACATGGGCCACAGGCCTGGAGGTTTTTTCTGTGAATCATGAATATGTCGCTTATTATCTCCTAATATGTACAAAACAACAGTACTTTCCCACATTTCTGAATTTCTGTTTCCTGCAGATGAAACAACAGCCAGTCTTGCTGTTTGGATTACTTTAAAGCTCTGTTACATTGCTAAATACTGGCCATTACTCAATTCTTTCATTTATTATATGAATAATCACCTACACAATCCATAACATTAGCAATTTTCTTCAGTGTGAAAATTACTAAGAATTAGTCTTTCCTTTGACAAGTATCTTACAGGATTTAGAGCCAGTTATAGCATTGTCTTCATTAATGGACAAAGTAAATAATGTTCATGGCTAAACGCAGAGCTCAACAGATTGAATAGATGTTGTGTGTTTCTGGCTGACTGGGTTGGAAATTTCCCCACCAACATTTACTTGTCTCTTTCCCCATCTACCATGATATGGTTCCAGCTCACAAGTAGACTGTCATTTTAATGCTCCCTGCTGAAACTGGATGATAATTGTAACATAATTTGGCAGCTGTTTTGAAGAAGAGCAGAAACAAAGCCTTCTGGAACTTTTATGTAACATTCAGTGTTGGCATTTCCATGAATTGCAAGATGATTATGTGAGGCAAGTACAGCTCACTCAGACCCAGGCATGGAAGAGATAGCTGTTCAGCAGATTTAAGACAGCTAATGCAAAAGAGGAATTCTAGCAATCAGACTCACTGAAGCCTTGGCTGAATTATAATGAATATAAATCCTAATTCTGTCCTCACTACCTTTGATGTTAAATCTAGGCTTAAATTATAGCTGCTGTTAATTGCAGCACTGAAGTATTTTGCATAATGATGAGACTGTTGATTCTTTTTACCTTATTCATTTTCCTATTGGGTGAAGAAAAAACCCAGAGCAATCCAGATCTGCAGCAGCAGACAGATGTAATGTATACATTAGCTCTTCACACTGCTAATCACTAAAATACCATGTCACTAGTTCGCAAGCAGATGGCACACACAGCACCATAAGTGACAAACCTGATGCTGCATTCCTTGCACATCTGAAAGTCTTACGTGGAATGCAAGAAATGCAAGACTACATAGTGGCCTATCCTCTATTTCAGAGATGCTAAACAACTGCATATCAATGTCTTCTGTTGCCACGAGGGGAAATTGAGTACCTCTGAGAATTTGGCAATTCTTGTGTATGTTGCAGCTTTATGTAAAACTTAAGAGAATTTTATTTATGAGAAAATCTGTTCTTTTTAAACAGTAACTCATAACTTAAACAGTAACATGGCAAGAAGATGAGTTTTAAATCTTAATAAAACCATCCAGCCATTTCATTAGAAGGAATTACAGTAGAACTCCAAAAAGTTCCCAATTACATAAAAGCCCATGGACTGTTCAGCAAAAATAATGCCTAGTCCATGTTAGGTCTTCTGTTGACACTAGGATCCACATTTTTAATGTTAACTGAAGTAGAACAAAACATCTTCCACCTAAAGTAAACAAATTCAAAAAAAGTAAAGTTTTCTTCGAAGGTTCATTTCAATAAGTTTAAATTCAGACAGTGGCAGCCTTCAGTTTCCTTAGGGTAGCACAGAGTGTTCTCTGAACTTGACAATGTCATTACTCTAGAGAAAACCTCTGACTGCAGGATGTGTATGTGGATGCCATCTGAAGTAGTAAATACACTAATGGTGATATCACAATGTTACCACATTAAGGTATAGAACCACAGAATAATTCACATTGGAGAGGATCTCTGAAGGTCTCTGGTCCAATTGCTTCCTCAGAAGGCCAACTTGGGACACATTCCTCTAAGCTGAGTTTGAGTATCTTTGAGGATGGAGGTTCTATAACCTCTGTGGGAAATGTAATAAGTAAGGATCAAATCCTCTGCACCAGCTTTTACAAAGGAAATACACAAATAAAACACTGCTAAGCACCCAGTTAAAAGCCAAATTCTGTCAGAAAGTATCTAACAGCACCCTGTATTATTCACTGATGACCCATTCCAAGGTTTAGAGTTAAGACTGTCCTAAGCAGTATAATATTCAGTATAATACTGCTTCATAATCCCTAGGATAAAGGAAATGTTGTTTATATGTATTACCTTTACTTATGACAATTAAAGAGCAATGCAAAATGTGAGCAGCAGATGTGAGTTCCACTGAGCCCAGAGACTCTGAGTTCTCAGACACACGTCAGACCCCTCATTACCCTGTATGAGCAGTTCAATCTCTAATCCTCCCAATACTTCTTGTGAAATAAACATGTACTATGATCTCTTTAAGTGGCAATAAACACAAAGAAATTGCTTGTCCTGTACAAGCTCTTAGAAAAAAGACATCAAGGGCCAGGGTTTTGAACCAAATATCCCAAACCTTGGTGCTCTAACTACTGAATCCATCATCTCTCTTAAACCAAAATTTTGAGTTGTGCTGATAAAGGAGCAGAATCATGCACAAGATAAAATCTCCTGGTATTTAGTGGAAGCTGGCTGCCTCCTAACATTTCCTTTGGAAATCCTAACCTAGCACCATTCGTAAACTTCAGATTCAATTTCAGCTCTCCAACTGTTTGAAATCTCACAGTCATCTTCTAATAAGTAAGAGAGCACAAGAAGGGCAAGGGGATGTCAGAACTTTCATGGCACACATAAGCTGGTAGAGTTTCTTCTTTGAGTTTGCAGACAGCCCATGCGGAAAACCTTTGATGCAGCATCATCAGAGGTGCCTGGAGCTCTTCACACAAACGCTGCAGGCAGAGGGGGCCAAGGCTGGATTAATTTCCTGGGATGGGTTACTGAAATATATGTTTAAATCCCTGACCAGGCATGAACCTAACATTTTCGTGCTTGATTTTTCATATACTTTAAAATATATTAATAAGCAGATGCTGTGAAATATGAACTAATTTAAAGTGTCACCATTTTATGAAACAATTTCCATACTACTTTTGTGATCAAGCACAGAAAGATGCCATTATACTGATATGGATCTTCTGGTACACTCTCTGTACCACAGGCCTAGAGAGCACACTATCTAGCACCTGGGATACAGCTGCTCCGCAACTTTTGATTTGCTTATCAGCATGTTCTACACTCATGTAAACAATAAATCAGTTTTTGTGTGTCAAGCTCCAGAAAAGAAAATCAGATCACCACATCGCTTACAATATGAAAAGAAGGTGCCCCTTGACAATGCCTTCCCCTGCAGTTACAATGTTGACCTGGAGTTTAAAGGGGAGCTTATGTCACAGTAGAATATGCAAATACTTCACTCAAATATAATCCCACTGCTTTCATCACGACTAAATATTAACCAGCTGGTATGTCCTAGATACTTTCTGATTTACCAAACAAGCTTCCAGAACACACTGATCCTATATTTGTAAAGATGTCCCTAACAAATTGTAATGTTTAGCCAGCATAAAGATAAACACAGTACAACCTGGTTTTGTTAGGCAGATGAAATACCCTGTTCTTTCTAACCATCTGGAAAGGAAAAAGTCATCTGGAAAGGAAAGTCATCTGGAATTATTTCAGTTTTCCATTTAGCCTGTTTATATTCCAGCCTTTCGAGTAATGTGTTAGACTAGACTTCTTTTAAATACTTGTTCCTTCTTCTTCTCTTCCTTGCTCATGAACGCCCACACGCTAACCTGTTCTCACCCTCAGTTCCTCAGTTTTCTCTCAGCCCAAGTAGTCCCAGAGATTTCACAGCTGGACTTGACTGTCTTTGGTGCCCTCTACAGGCAAGCTCTGCTTTGCTACAGAAATACTAAAAAACTTTCTCGATAAATCCTTTGCAACCTCAGTGTAGTCTTCTCACAAAGATTATTTCTTGAATGTACAGTAATTCTGCCACAATCATCAGATCTCCTCTGATCCCAGGCCATGCTGTGCATTATTTCCTAGGAATATGAAAAAAAGGCAAAGCTAGATTCCCAAATGGAAAGGCTGGATCATTTAGCTTACATATCCACAAGGATAAAATAAAATAAAATACTTTAAAAGTAACTTGCTCAGTTGATCTTATATGTATATAGCCCAGAAAACCTTGCTTTCAGAATGTTCCATTTTCCACACAGCATACGTTTAGAATAATACAATTAGCACTTCTTCTAAAGCATTTTTCTCTTGAAGAAATGATCAAAGGAAACTAAAATTTGCAAGATGAGGTTTTGTCTATATTTTCACCTATATAATTTTAGAAGGAAAAGACAGCAGCCTAATGTTAGACTGACCAAGTGCTAGGCTTTATTTTAAATGTCATGGCATTAGTCAAATATTTAAATCTACAATGATTCTCTGAGCATGTTTGTGTGTGTCCATGTGAAATGTTCTCCCAGTGGCTTTTTACACCACTGGACAATTTCAGCCATTCTGAAGGTCAGTCCATTACAGCAGATCTCATGAGACAGTCAAGCAGAGGATCCCATCAATAACCAGTAAGGAAAAAAAGCTGCAGCTTGAGCTTAGCTACTGCTTCCTTGAAGAAGTTTATGTTTTCAGTAAAGAAAGAAATAACCAAATATCACCACTTTCACTGCTCAGTTTCACTCCTGACCCTTAACTGATGCATTCTCCTGCATGCTGCTGAACAACTGGCAACCTCCATTCTACGACGGGACGCATTTATTATGCTGATTTCAAATGTGCACCATTTAATTAATCAATACTAAGCAAGTATAGTAGATTTCAACAGTAGACTTTTATAGTCTAAAGTACATATTTCAGTAACTACGTAACCAAAGCTTGTATATTAGCTTACTGAAAATACTTTGGGCTGATATAAAATAAAAATTTTTTCTGTGAGATTCCACTTGTTTGTCGTATGTGTCTATTACAAACGTATCAGTATTAGTATTATTTGAAGACTACTGGGGCAATTGCAGGAGTTTCATGGGTAATTCCTACCAGGACTGGGCTCTTGAAAGGCAAAGTCTACCATGAAAATGTTTTTTTTTTTGCTATCATTAAGCAATACAAAAAAATAACTATTTTTCCATTCCCAGATCAAAAGTCACTCACTAGACTAAAAATAAGTGCAAGCTGAAAGGATTCACTTTGTACTAAACCTTATATATTGTCTAAAACACCATGCACATTCCTTTGGGATATAAATATCAATCTGATAAGCTAGCAGGTCTTGTCAGCCACAGTAATTTATTCCCTGGGGTATCTGAGCCACCACATGGCTCTAGGACTTCTGTAAAAGGTCAAGAGGACTTAACTAACATCTATATAAGTTATTATCTCTGTCATTTGAACAATAATTAAGCCAAGAGGACTTTGCAAATCTTTTACCTTACAGTTTTTTATGTCTTTGGCTTAGGTAAAACTAAGTGGCAGGGTGAGGAAACGGAGGTTTTTGAAGACATCACAATAATCCACACAAAAAATGAAGGGAAATAACCAGAGATCTCCAAATGCTGTGCAGTTCTGTGAATCATAGAATGGTTTGGGTTGAAAGGGACCTTAAAGACCATCTAGTTCCAATCCCCTGCCATGGACAGGGACACCTTCCACTAGAACAGGTTGCTCAAAGCCCCGTCCAACTTGACCTTGAACACTGCCAGGGATGGGGCAGCTACAGCTTCTCTGGGCAGCCTGTGCCAGAGTCTCACCACCCTCACAGTTAAGAACTTTTTCCTAATATCTAAACTAAATCTACCCTTTTTCAGCTTAAAGCCATCACCCCGGTCCTATCACTACTTACCCTTGTGAACAGTCCCTCTCCAACTTTCTTCTCAGCTCCATTAGGCACTGGAAGCTGCTCTAAGGTCTCCCCAGAGCCTTCTCTTCTGCAGGCTTTACAATCCCAACACTCTCAGCCTGTCTTCCTAGGAGAGGTGCTCCAGCCCTGTGAGCATCTTTGTGGCGTCCTCTGGACTCACTTGAGCAGCTCCACATCCTTCTTATGTTGGGGGCCTCAGAGCTGAAAGGCAGCTCATGTTGAACTTCTCATCAACCAACACGTTTGGTTTTGTCCTCTGCTTTTGCACCTGAAGACTTAACTAGAGAAAATAGCAAGCCAGATGCACTACATATATCTGAAGTAACAGACAGAACTGTTGGCCCCTGCAGGGCAGTTGTCCTCGTTTGCCTTGGGACCTAGGTTGCAACTGCCCCAGTAACCAAACCTGGCTGCCCTCATGGGGCAGCATCAAAGGCTGATAAAGCCAATATGAATTCTGTCTCTGAATGAGAGACAACTGTGTGCATGTGTGTGCGTGTGCTGAAGGAGCTGCAAGACAAATAACAAAGGAAAGACTGGATCACAATGAAACACTCTGATAGCACTGAAAATACTCATTTAATGTAGGGATAACTGACAGACTGTGAAGATAAAAATAGCAGTTCTACTGGAGTTTGCTTTTTATTCTTGTAAGATTTTTTACTAGACTGAATTCAAAGGCCTATTTTTCTCTAATCTTTCTTTTCATCATGATATTCTATCTTCAAGAGCATATTCATCTGACCGAAGTTAAAAAGTAAGGTTAGAAAAATTCTTGCCTCTCTTAAGTCTACATCTTAGTAGCAGAGATGACACAGCAGGGAAAATGAATCCTGCCTCTATGGGGTCAGTTTTAACTTTGTCTTTTTAATCCAATGAAACAAAAAGAATTTTTACGTGTTGTGATACAACATCCCTCTTACTTTGTTACCATTATTCTCACTGAAGTTAGAGGACGTTTTGTCATTAAATGCAAAATTATTTACAAAGAGATTTAGAAATAGTCTTAAGAATCGAGTCAGGCTTGGAATTTTACAGGTATTACCAATACCAAACTCAAAATGCTTTCAGTACCAAGTATGTCTTTCTCATTTGTCCTCTCACCTTTAACAGACACTTACTGCAGCATTTCTCAGCCAGTGCCAGAGCTTTGACTGATGCATTCCTGGCAGCTGGTGATAGTGACGGAGATGGTAAAATTGGAGTGGATGATTAAGACTGCCTTTATCTAACAGAGGAATACCTGTCCCTGAGACTTTCTAGTGGTTAGCTCTATGAAGCTGCCCGACTCCATACACTGGTTATTATGCATCTGACTCCAAGATGCTTAGGTCTGCTCAGTATTGTAGAGAGGATCTAACATAGGAGCTGGTCTATATGCTGCCTTTGGCTACAGGTGGTCAGGCTACCGAGATTTTTTTGAGAAGGGAACCAAAATTGATAAATTTATAAAATTTCAGTATATAATTCCACTGCTTTTTACTACTGAACTATGGTACAATGTAACACTTGAATGCAACACTTCCTTTGTCTTGAGTATCTATTGTTCTGAGTATACAGTGTGCTACTTTTAGGAATGAGCTTCCCATTCGAACTCTAAGTACTTTTGTTGTCTGTGTGATTACATAATGTGGCTCCTTTTTGTTATTCTTTTCTTTTACAGAGTTTCAAGATCTGGTCAAGTTTTAACAAGCAGTCAAGATAAAGACCAAGATACCAGTGCCATAAACAACCTTTCCTATTGCAAACCTACTCTTTATTTACACATTTTGTACCCATTAAGAATCTCTGGCAAGTGACTTCATATTGCTGGAAAACATTTGAAGTAGTGTAAGCACTATTTAAACCATATTCCCCAATATTTCAAGCAAAAGGTCTTCATACCACTGGGAGACTGAACTGGAATCCATTCTGCTCATCTGAATTTGGGGCATTAAAGATGCAAGTAAAAATATAAAAAGGAGAAATTAGAAGCATTTCTGTGGCCATTTAATTTTCAGTATTTGTATAAATAGATAGCACCTGTTATAAAAAAACTAAAATCAGTAAAACATACAGGTGTAAAACCTGGTTATGGTAACTGGTAGCAGTGGCATTCAACTAAGAGGTATATTTAATGCTCCAAATGTTTTTATGTCATTCTTTATGCAACTGATTATGTTTCATACACTAATTAAATGGCAGGACTTAGCACTAATTAGCTGTCAGTTTTAATATAAGATTAACTGGATCCAAGATAAACCTCGAATACTGAAATAGCGATACATTCAGTTCTCCAAGGAACCCCTCACCTTCCTGCCCACCTGATGGCGCCATTGCTCCACTTACAAGAAGTTAAAACTACATTCTGTCTGCTCGAATTAATTCAAGTCAGAGCACTTCTAGTACCCCACCTGCCCACTTCTGTGGATGACTCAGTTTTGCTAAATAAAATCATCTCTGAATACAGAATGCTAACATCTTTTCCAGAACGTGGGAGCAGGATGCAAGTCTCAGGAAAGGTCTGTAGTGCTAGTCTGCAGTTGGGAAATAAATACTTTTTGTTGGATCCACTTTGCACACTGAATGCCTTTATTGCCATGCATACGACCCTACATACCCAGCATACCAGCTGTACTTAGCAAGTTGCACACCATGGCACAGAGATACAAAGAAGCAAGACATGGTTCTACCTGCAGAGAGGTAGAAGTTGAGAGCCCAGAGTTCCCCTCTCTGGTCAGTATGAGACCTGAAGGTCTGCACACAGAGATCCAGAATAGAGATTTGGTACCCTTTAATCATATCCATGCTATTTTCTCACAATATCAATGTAAAAAGTATTAATTGTTACCATAATCCAAAGTCATTTATTTTGCATGGAAATCTAATTGTAAAGATGTGGTTTTACAACCCACACAGATGTAACTGAAGGCAAAGGCAGCTGTGTTCTGAATAAAACTAGGTGAAAAGCGCTTTGAAAAATCAAGTCCCTGGGGCTTCATCATGGCAAACTGGAACATGTTGCCTCAATAATCAAAGCTCTATTGCTCTTCTTCATCTCAAAACTGAGGATAACTTTATGCCCACATCTCACAGGGCTGTAAAAATAAATGCACAAATGTTTGTGAGTTAAGTATGATGAGAAATTGATGCATTGATGAGAAAAATGAACATGAGCAGGCAGTGTGCGCTTGCACCCCAGAAAGCCAACCGTATCCTGGGCTGCATCAAAAAGGAGCATGACTAGCAAGTCGAAGGAGGTGATCCTGCCCCTCTACTCTGCTCTTCTGAGACCCCACCTGGAGTATTGTGTGCAGTTCTGGTGTCCTCAACATAAAAATGACATGGAACTGTTGGAACAAGTCCAGAGGAGGCCACGAGGATGATCAGGGGCTGGAGCACCTCCCATATGAAGACAGGCTGAGAAAGTTGGGGATGTTCAGCCTGGAGAAGAGAAGGCTGCGTGGAGACCTCATAGCAGCCTTCCAGTATCTGAAGGGGGGGCTACAGGGACACCTGGCGGTGTTCAAGGCCAGGTTGGACAGAGCCTTGGGTGGCATGGTTTAGTGGGAGGCATCCCTGCCCATAGCAGGGGGGTTGGAACTAGATGATCTTAAAGTCCTTTCCAACCCTAACTATTCTATGATTCTATGATTCTAAGTATAATAAAGAAGGGCACCATTAAAATATTACTATGAAATTAATCCTGTTTTTTTTACAGATTGAAACAGTAGGCTGGAAATTAGGAATGAGGAGAATGCAAAACTCTGAATGGTTGCTCATTAACTGAAGGTCATCCAGCTTGTGCAGTAAGTTAGGGTTCTGGTTGAAAAGTAAGAGTTTGATGATATCTTTGTAATTTTGACATAATACAAACAGAGCAATCAAATTAGATTACAAAAATGAACTAATTGCTAACAGTTCTTAAATTGGGAAGTATGGTGTAGAGGGGATTTTGGCTTACATATGTAATAAAAATAGACATCCAATTTTAAAAAAAAAACTAGATGGCTTAAACTATGCAGAACATTATATTTCCAACTTGATAGTTACCTCCTAGGTACTCTTTTCAAAAAATTTGGAACTCTTGAAAAGTTTGCTCTTGGGCATTAATCTCACAAAAACCTGTATGACAGCTGTCTTGTACTGTACTTGTTGGAGCTATTGAGGAAGATGTTTCAGTATTTGCAGATCAAAAATCCTCATTTCAAAAGTATCTGGAAACACTCTAGTGGTTCTGATGCACAACACATTTATGATAAGACATTATGGAGAAGGAAGGAAACATTAATACAATCTATGGGAATTCTATGGAACTTCAATGGGGGAATCTATGGAACTTCAATGAATACTCAATTATGTGTTCATTATACATTAGTCCAAAATATATTTCCACTAACATTAATAAATGAACCACGCCCTGATATTGGAGAATTTTACCTAACAGTGAAAAAAGAATTACCCATCAAACAAAATCACGTTTCTGATTTCAATGTCATTGCAGGAGAGCGACAAACAAAGGAAAATGAGAGGAATTAGTAACTGCAGTCTGACTGCAAGGCTAAAAGATCTCATTGTTGGAAAATGCTATGTATCTCAGCTGATACCATGTTTTATATTTTCACTAAGTAATATGGGTCACCTGAAGATCTTCAAGCATCATACTAATATTAATAGCTAAATGAGAGAGAAAGGCACAGACAGCTCAAATAACTGAGCAGGCAGCTCCTTTACTTACCCACATTTACTCCCACACTGATTAGCCTCCTAGGCCTACAAATCTAAGACAATTTCACCACTTACCATTCCATTAAGAACAGTAAAAAATTAATGACAAGGTAGGTCTGATATCAGCTTCAGTGATCACTCCAGAAAGTTAAGAAGGGCTTGTGACTAGAATAGTTTTTAGACCTTTTCTTCTTTTAGTATACTAAGCAGATTGGTGGCGAAAATGCTGTTTTCTGTCTACATGAATACACTTCCTTTCTTTCTTTCTTTTCCTCTCTGTCTCTCACTCACACAGGTTGTCAGACACTGTGAAATTTCTGTAACTGCTTATTATGTGCTTTAAGAAAGCTCCTCAAATTGTACCTGTAAGGGCACAGCTGGAAAGACTGCTGCATGATCATAAACACACATTCCCACATTGCTCCCTTAAACTGAAGAACACTCCTCTGGAATCATACATTTGGAGGTCTGAAACCATGGACTGTATTCTGCAAATGTGTCTATCCAACCCTTTCTGCCAGAGTCCCTATGTATGTGATTGTCTTTTGTCAAGGGAACTTTGTCACATGCTTTATGCATGTGTATTAAGTGCCTGCTTGAATCTAGACACCTGCTTCTCCTTTATTTAGAAGGCCATTTCTGTTAAACAAGTGACTTTTGATGATTACTTCTGATAAGGTTAACTCTAATTATAGCGTATTTTTACTTTATACCTCACTAAGGGTTAGACATCCTCCTACTGCTGAAATTAATGGCAGAAATCCCACAGCCATCAATTAGGACAGGCAGTGAATACAGCACTGAAGTGGTTCCAACTCTTTCTATTTGCCTTATTTTACCATGGCTTCTTACACTTTGGGTCATAGTGAAATACAGCCATATGCAAAAAGCCTTTGATAACAGTATAGTACCACTGTACATATCTTTTACATGTCACAAAAGGCAGCATCCAGATTATTTCACAGCCTCCAACTTTAGGGCACAGTTACTCTTAAAATGCACAGAAACCCTGAACAATTTAGACTTTTAAAGCTCACTCCATCTGACACTGTCTGTAATGCTGACAGCAGACAAATATCTTAAACAATTACATTTAGGGTCAGAGATTTTTTTGTGTTACTGAGTCACAGAAGCTCTTGCAAGTGCATTTAAACACAGCAGACAGCATATCAAATGCTAGCAGAGATCTTCCAGGACAGCTTTTTAAGTGAAAAAAATACCATGATCAGACCAAGCTCTGTGAATTACTTACGCTATTAATCGTTTATGTTAGTCTATTCTGCTATCATTTTCAAATAGAAATCAATCTCATTTACACAGAATACTAAGGACATAATTTAAAGTGGGGAAAGTACACAAGACATTTCTCTTAACATGAGAGAAGTACCTGTCTTAGTTTAGCTCCAGACTCACAGTGCTGCAGGATGGATTCTACAGTCCAGATCTCTGCTCAGCGCTCTGGGTAATGTCCTCTACTTGCTGCAGGGAAAGAAAGCTTTGTCACTGAGGCTTCCAAGGCCTGGATTTCATCCTTCATTGTAATAATGCACAATACCAAAAAAATCAAATACTAAACCATGTTCTTGAACTCCTCTGTTTAATATGGTAAAAGATTATGGCTCAAGCAACCATTCAAATTGGATTCTGTAATTATTTCTGTATGATTAAAGTATGTGTCTTAAGAGGCAACTTGAAGTGGCAGGATAGAACTCATTTTGTTGTAAAGGCACTTTTCAATTATGATAACTATATTCACACTAAGATTCTCTGCCATCACCATTGAAACATCAACATTAATGTTCAATCACTCAGGTTACTGAGTATCTATTTCCATTTCTTCCAAACTCATTACAAAGACAGAATCTATTATCCAGGATTATGATACAATTGTTCTGGCCCTAACACAACCAGAACTGAAAGATGGGAGTTGTGTGGGTTTCACAAGTTGCTACAGTGCCTCTCTACAATGTTGCAGTTGGTCTCAGGTTAACACCTCTCCTCTGATCTCACCTGAGACAACCGCTGATGTTTCCCTTGCATCTGCTTGAAGTCTTCGGTTGATTGCCGCTGCTAATTAATTCTATACTTTATACCAAACAGAACACAAAGAGTACAAGACTAGTCCACAACCTGACAATGATTTACCAAAACTATCCTCTGCTCATTAGAGAAGTGAATGGTACTTGACTTGAAAAGAGTTGGTTTATAAGTGTAGATTCCTAGCAAGAAATTATCAGCAGGATTTCTCTGTATTTCTCAGAACTACACTTTTGTGTTTAATTCTGGAAGTCTGAAACAAAACAAAAATGGCTTTAATATTCCTGTATATGTTATCCATAAAGACACCTCCGGAAAAAAGAACAGAAGTTAAGTTATAAGGGCACATAAACCTTCACATGAACAACTCAACAGCACTTTCAGATGTCCCCACAGAGCAGAAAAATCGAAACCAAACAAATTAATAATTTCTCTTGTATTTCACAGGAACAAGTGCTAAACATTCCTGGAAACTGCGCAATACCCAGATTCTGCACCAGATTTTGCACAGTTGTTAACTGCCTACCTAGCAGCTGTTGTTTTGGTTGAATTATTAGGTATTTTCTTTATAGCTTTACATTGCTTGCATAATATCTTTTAGGAAATTTCTTTTATGGATCTCAGGTTTTGAACCCCTAAAAAGGGATTACAATCGCCTAAGAAAATACATACCCCAGAAGTAAGGAAAACAGGCAGATGATTTAGCTGTAAAATAGATGATCTAATTAAAACATCCCTTTCTATATTATACTCATCCCTGATTACTTCATTCTAATTGTAGTGAAGGGAAACCTGTACTTCAGATGAAGTGTCATTAATAAATAAATAAAACCCAGTAACCCTAGATTCCCAGCTGTATCAATATACAATGACATCAACATGATTCTGAAATTCAGCTCTTTTAGGCTTTTGTAAGCCATCTTTCAGCCAGGATTAGCATCACTTTTGTTGTCAGTGTTGAATTTCAAACACTAAAAGATCCTTTCATAAGCAATAGTGAACTTGTAGCAATCAGCTCACTTTTATTTGAGATCATATTTTAATATAATACTAATTCTGGCTACTTTGCTACTGTTGAATACATGTAAAAACAGTTCAGCACTCTGTGTGCCCTGGTAGAGTGTATGAAGTAACCAGATGACACTGAGTGATTATATTTGGTGCTTATATTTTGGTGCTTATATATTAATACAATTCCTGAATTAGTTGCAGACATATTTTGAGCTTGAGTACTATATGCTCGCCTTGATCTCATCATTTTCCTCTATTCCACTTCAATTTTCTCATTCTTATTCTCATTAGCTTTCAATATTTAGGGTTGAAATGCAAGTCAAAAATTAAAACAAAATGCAGATCAATGAGCAGCAGATATAGAGAAGGAGCAGAGTAGGAGCAAGCACAAATAAAGGAAGCCTACTGTAAAGTAACGTCTATGGCACTATCATGGAGACCTAGGAAAACCGTTTTCTCTAGGAACATCTTGACAGTAAAAATGTCAAGAGGAAACAGTAAAAAAACCCTTCTTTTAAAACTCATATCAACTTGAGATGATTGCAAAGGGGAAAATTCACAACAGAGCACAAAAAGGTAGCCTCAAGGATGAAAGCTATTTCAGGGTCATTCCACAGAAAGCACAGTATGTGCTTCATTCCCACTGCCACTGTCTGGCAGATCATAACATCATGCAAACCTCAGACAGAAAGTATGTGAATATATAGCTTTGAAAGAAGATGATAAATGAAAAGGACACCAAAAGACCTGAGATCAGATCTTCAATTTGTATAAATAAACAGTGTTTGATTTCTTTTAACCAGACAATATGAATTTACAACAGGCCAGGGTTCTCAGGTTTAGTGGGAAAGCATTCTTCCAGATTACTACAGACAGTTTTCCTACTGAGACAGGAGAGCATTTTTTTGCTACTAGACAGCTGATATTTGGGATTAAAGATACATCTGATTATTCATGATCAATGCACCTTCTTTTGTGTACAAAAGAGATAGCAGGAAAGGTAAAAGTATCATTAAATGGTGTCTGCTTTTTCATGTCAATTATACCTATTTCTCTATCCAAATTCAGACAAACAGGCTACAGAACAATTGCTATGCTTGATACTTTTCTTACTGTCATTAAACCAATCAGGAGTATACCCACTGTAGTCCATTAACTTCCACTAGGGCTTAGATACATTACTACTCTACTCCACAGCATAATTTGTAACTTTTGCTTCTGTAAAAAATGTTACTTGTTCAGCATAACATACTATTTCCATTCATGAAAAAATCAGTGCTCAAGTATTTGGAGAAAACTACTTTAGGTATCATAATAGACTATTATACTATAAACTCTAGCCAAAATACAGGTGGGTCTTATTGGTTTTCATCCTACAGTTTTGTCCACATAAACCCCCTTAAAGATGGAAATAGATTTTTGTCTGAAGGAAACCCTCTTATCTGTTGTTCTCAATTTTCTTAAGGTTTTTGTTTTTTTTCAAAGCTAATGTTCATGAAATATATAACAAGCCCCCACTTACTTATACCTACAGTTTTAATTTCTTATAAGGAAATATATTGTGAGACTGTGTTGTAAAATGTATATAAATCTATCTCCACACTAACAAAGTCTGATTCCTACCACTTCAAGTAGGTCTATTATTGATTTCATGTAATTTAAAGTATTCAAAAGAGATCAATAAGTAGGCCATCTGATTATAATGTTCCAGGGAATACAAACAGGATCAGCTTGTTCAGCTTTACCCAGTTTCAGAGTTTTGCTCTCACTGAAGGCACTGGTTTCTGTTCTACCCCTGATTAGGGACAGCACTGCAATTTAGAAACCGGTCAGGAAATCTGAAATGCTGCTTACTGGAGAAGAATCACCCCAAATTACAGCATGCTTTCCTCTATACTAGTGACAAGTTATTTTTGTCAGAATGACATGCTGTCACCTCAGATCTTTCATTTTCAACTTCCTTTATACATTCCAAAGGATGAACAGACTCCGGAAAACCAAGCTGGTTTCTTTTCATAAGGATTTAACAGCTGGAGTCATCTTCCAGTGAGCAACTTTAAGGTCCAGAGGTTAACTGAAAATCTTTACCATACTCGGAGACTGAAAGGCAACGTTTTGATGGCAGAGTTGTACTTAATTAAGCACAAGAGGATTTATTAAAAAAACTGTTGTTCTTGTCCATATTATATTAGGATATAAATAGAAAGAAAAGTTTAATTAGTTAAGGAAGAAATTTGAGCTTGGTCTCAAACCAAACATTCGATCCATCAAACAGTAACCTAAGTAGTGGTTATTGTCACCTTTTGAATCCTTTATAAGCCAGAGTGGCAAGCCAGAGCCGACATTACTATTTTGCCTGCTATCTCCTCAGCTATTTTTCCTTTACCTAGCTGAGAAAACTATAAAGGTGAGCAGCTGACTTGAGATTAATTAAATGAAATTACTGTGCAGAGCTGCAACAGTAGTAAGTACAATAACCATTGTTCTAAGATTTTTATTTTAATTGCTGGAATTACATATGGATGGACCTTATATAGAGATAAGTATCAGTTTTCTTTTTATTCTTCAAAGCTGTTGGGGAGAAAACAGAAGCAAACCTTCTTGACTCTTTTTTCCACTGCATATACTGTTATTTGTATTGCCAGATGCTATGCATTCCAGTAAGACTAATTATAAGATTAATGGTTACACAGAGTTTAAAATGTGCTGTATTTCCACAAGATGCAGGTAAATTATAAAAAAGTGATCATCAACTCACAAGACCATTTATGTAATCCACGTAATTAAGAAGTATTATTTCAGCATTGCTATTTTTAAGGAAGTAATATACTAAGTCTTCTAATTTGTTTAGGAATAGCAGCGATGATGGTTTGGTCAATGATTTTTTGTAACATGCATTTACATTTCACAAATCTGTCTGCAATATATTATTTTGCACAGGTTTGAAATGAGCCTTACAGACATTCTAAGCCCTTCCGATATTGCTGCTGCTCTGCGGGACTGCCAAGGTGAGCAAACAATTAAAACTCAAAATCTATTACTTTGTGTAACACATGGCAAGTTCAGTGCAATCCCAAAGGAATACTGAAGAAGCACATACTGTAAACATGTTTCTATAATCTCTTTACTTAGCTGTCATGACTGATTTATATTGTCAGTTTGTAACATCCCCATGTGATTTTATTTTTGCTGTTTAGGAGGGTATGGTTCAGTATGGCAAAACTTATTCTTCGACAAGCTTTATCTATTGTTCATGTTTAGAACAATTAAACTATAACAAAGCAGCATCTTCAGACTTTTTAGGAACAGTGAATGCAGTGGTCTGGGGTTAATTCATTTATTAATTTATTTTCAGCTCCAGATTCCTTTACTCCCAAAAAATTCTTTCAGATCAGTGGAATGTCTAAAAAGAGTAGCAGCCAACTGAAGGAGATCTTCCGGATTCTTGACAATGACCAAAGTGGCTTTATTGAGGAAGATGAGCTCAAGTAAGGATTTCGTTAACTGTTCAAAGGGTATCAAAAAATCAGCACTTCTTTTCTTTCCAGAGCTGTTTTGTACATGAGAGCACAAGTTATGCTGAATGCTGCTAAAACTTCCAGCAGATTGTCAAAGGTGTATTTAAGTAGATAATCCCTACAGAGAGACAACTAGTAAATACCTGCTTTTAATGCTCAGTATAGAAAAAATAACTTCCTTGGGATGGATTTTGGTAGTGGGTAGAATTAATTGTATCAGGGCAGGACTTACAAAACAGAAATGTATGACTAAGATTTAGTTCGTCTATCAAAGCAGATTTTGAAGAACTTGGCTATTATGGTAAATTATTTATATATAGCTATCATTTTGATTATACAGCCAGCATAAAATAATAATATTCTGTGAAAATCATAATCAAAGTTATTTTCTTCCTAGGTATTTCCTTCAGAGGTTTGAATGTGGAGCCAGAGTGTTAACCTCCTCAGAAACCAAGACCTTCTTGGCAGCTGCAGATCATGATGGGGATGGTAAAATTGGGGCTGAAGGTATTAATGTACTTATATACAGAATAAGGCACCTCAGGTTGTGTTTCAATGATGTGTGATTCCCTTTTATTCTCATGGTACATTAATGTACCTCCAGTAATTTTACTGAAACCCTTGTAGTCGCGACCTGTTTAAGGGCAGAAATAGTCCCTAATCTTACAGGTTCATCTCTGCAACTCCTTTTGCATGAGCAAGTCAAAAAAAACCACTTAGGCTGCCCTAAGGAGCTTTCTCAGAAATTTACAGTTGTTTTGAAAGGAACTGCCCTTTATTTCTCCTCCCACTTACTCTGACTTATGGCAGCACTAGCTGTAATACACAAAAGTAAAATCAAGGGCAAAAGAACCACCTCTTCACAGGAGAACCAACAGCACCTATATGGGCTCATTTACAGCAGTTATCTCCCAACAGAAGTTACACTAATCAGTGAAATCATTCACAGTATGCAAGAGCTAGCAGCATGTAGTTTAATATTTGTTTTGCATGAGAAGAACAGAATGATCAAGTGTCACTACCCTGACACAAGATTCCACAACAGGCTCTCTGCATGGGGATGGATGCTATTCATCTTCAGTGGCAGTTGAAAGACCAGATAGAAAGGAGCAGCTGTTCTAAGAAGCAGCATATTGCACTCACCCTGTGGAAATGCTGGTGTGATTTAATGGCTGCTCAGTGCAGAAACCTCCTGATCTCCTAATTGCATATTTCTGTGTCCCATTTTGACCAGGAAGCACACACTCACACAAAAGACTTGCAGCTAGTGGCAACTTGCCCCATGAAAGAAGCATGCTGCCTAGACAAGCATGAAAGGGGCTTAGGGAATAGCATGCAGGGAATGTGCTGGTATGCAGATTTCCTATCGCACTGTGCCAGGAGGACAGAACTCTTCTGTTTCTTTCTTTGGAAGGAATTAAATCCAGTTCCTTAGGAAATACGCCAGAATAAACACACATGATTTATGAAGCAATATACTAATACAGTCATTCAGGGATGGGACTGATCAAAAACTCTAACTCACAAAAGACAGACATTTAAAAGATCTTGCAAATAACAATATCTTACTGTACTTCAGTATCATGAATGATACTTCAGTATCATTCCACATGGAACTGCACATTGGTTTTGGCTTTAGACTGTGTTCTAAATCAACACTTTGCAATTGCTGAAGCGTTACAAACCACTAATAAGACCCATGGATTCACTTTTAATTCTTGTATTTCAGGTCTTAACTACTTCTTACTCAAATTACATAGTAGCCATTCTGTTATTTTTGCCCAAGATCAGTAATATGCAGAGAGAAAGCTAAAACTACCCTGAACGTTATATTACTCCTTATAAGTGTCAGCAAAACACTTCCATCTGTTGTTTAGAAGGACATTAGGCAATGTCTCTCAGTCATCTATCAGGTAATTGTTTTCTGTTAAATCCTATTATAAATTTCTTGATAAGCCACTAATCTTTTACTCCTATTCCTTTCATTTTACTATTTCTACTGTAAATATTCTTTTATCTTTTGCAGAATTCCAGGAAATGGTGCAGTCTTAGAGGTTCAAAAGGACCAAACAAAATACAGTCTGGGTGAATCTGCACAAGACACTCCAAAACCTTGAAAATCAGGACTCCCTTATTTATCTTGACTGTGACTTGTTCATTGCCTTAGTAACATAATGAAACACTGATTAATTTTTTTCATTGTGCGGAACATTTACCATGCTCTAAACTCTACTTTAGCAAACACTTCCCTTAAAATATCCAATAAAAATTGATTATATACAGTAGCTTGTGTCTGTTTTTCTGACTGCGAAACTGAAATATGTGAATTTTTAAGAGTGTTAAAACCTGCAAGATGTTAATCTTATCAGACCTTCATATATGGAACATATCGCAAAATCTATTTACAATAGTCCTGGATTAAGCTTGAACTTCTCAAAACACTCAGATCTTCATCAAAGACTAGGAGCTGAGATAGAGTTGTGAGGTAGGTGCTGATAAAATCTCTCACTGACTTCCACATGAAAAACAATTATAAGTTTTTGCTTAAGACATGATTTCTACATGAGATCATTGCTGTTTCAAACCATTCTTTTTACATTAGCCAATGAAGAGAGAGAGAAAGCAAAACTCACATTTTCCTGTGGAAAACCTCTGTGGACTTAAGGCTTCAGATAACTATGAGGATTTACAAAGGACAGGGGAACCAAAAGCCATCATCTTGGTGGTATTTTCTAGCTTTCTCAATAAGAAAGACTAAAACTGTGCAGGAAGAATTTGTAGAAATGCATGTTGAGAAATCTCCAACATACTCTCCAGTCTTTTCAGTCTGTGTCTGCCATATTAAAAGCATCTATTTCTAGGGATGCTGAAGAAACATCTTTTTATGAAATTCAATCATTAGAGAAGTGTTTAGATGCTCTGATAGAGTATTTATATATTCATTTGCTTTCTCAACATTAACAAGTGCTGTATACTGCAGTTCACACATATGTAGCTTACAGGAGTCATCATAACAAAATAGAAGCCTTTTCAGCAAAGTGAATGGTTTAGTCACTGCAGTTTCAATTTGCATCCTTTGCTGCATGCAAATGACTACATTCAAAATTAACTGCATTTTTTTCCTTGTCAAAAGTCTCTATAAATATTGGTAATGTGCAAAAAAACCACCAAAGCCAGAGCTGAATTGTTAACAAGAAACCAGCTGTTGCTGGGGAAGAGACTGAAGAATCTGAACACACTTGTGAGAAGGGCTATATATCTTTCAGAGCAACAAAGGCACAAAGAAAGAGTCTTTCTCTCTGACACTTCAATATGCCAGCTCTCCCAACCTGTATTTTGCAAACCTAACAAAATAGTAACTAAAAAATTCCTGTTGGTCTCAAACATGTTCATCATTGAAGCAAAAGCAATTAAATAAATTCAAATTTTCCATCTGTGATCCTCCAAGACACCCTAAACAGCTGCATCAATACAAATTCTATAACATTTCACTCCTGAGTAATCACCTCTATGTCTTCTCTGCAGCCATCTACTTCGCTAGGAGCCAAGTACTGAAGAGCCAGCCAGAACACAGCTCCTGCCTTTAGAAAAAACACGTGTATATTAATCCACAGTTCTTAATAGCCAACAATTGAAAGGAGAATTTTTGTCCCATTTAAAAATGTTTTCAAGCAGCTTAATTTGGGATACAATTTGTTTGTAAGCTGTATACCCAGTACACATGAGAATTTAATATGGTCATCAATTTTTCCTTTTGTTGTGCAAAAATAACACAAACAGATAAAAAATAATACTTAATTTGAATAGTATTTCTTAATATTATGAAATATGCTCACCTGACATAAGTCACTATAGTATCAGTGACTTTAACATAGCTGCTCCGATTTACACAGTCTGAGGATCTGACCCATGAGAATCTGACCCATGTAAATTCTCATAGCACAAGACAGATGTCACAGGATATTGCCAAGAAATAAAGTGTGTTCTTGGCAATGAAAACCAGTCTGATGACAGAAGGGTCTTGGAGCAGCTCACATGTGAGTTACAAACAAATGCCTCTCCATTTCACTGACAGTTAAGTGTCCTGATCTTGACTAATTGTATTATATCAGGCAGGTGAATGCATGTAAAAGAAAGAATATTGCAGTTGCTCTTGCACTCTGAACTCTGGCTCTTCTCAATGTTTCACCCTTTGCACTATGCACCTAGTCAAAGAAACCCAGAGCCAAAGTATAAATTCTGTTATTCCTCACTAAGATGCAACACATTGCTGGAGCAGGTCACTGGACAGAGGTGGACAGAAAATTCATTAAGTGCCCTGGCCCACAACAAACTTTGGTGAAATCAGAACTTCCATCATTTCCTAGATAAGAACATAGCACAGCTGTCTGCCTCTGAAGTTTGTGTAAAACATCTGAACTACAAAATATACTTAGGCCCAATCAAAAGACAGGGGACAAAAAGAGTATGGAAGCACTTTGTGACCTGACACACAACCTCTTAACTAGTTTCCATGTAAAGGCTTTAGAAAAATCTTGTTCATTATTACTTATTCAAAGTATGTCTCAATTGTTCACTGATAACTTATTATTGTATAGAAGTGGTGCACTACAGCACCAAACAGAAAAAAAAATACAACCCACTTACTCTACTTGAGATATTCTGAGGATTTTCTAACATCCAAAGTTTTGTAGTTAAAGGAATCTTTACATGTATTTTCATTAGGAAAAAAAGCACCTTAAAAAACCTTAATAGTACAGCAGCTACTCCAGCAGATTACTATTCTCTGAGGGAGAGCAGGTTAAGTAAAGGAAAACTTGTTGACTCGTAGGATTTCTGAAGTAGAAGAAACTTTTAAAGTTAAAACAACTTACATGGCTTCTCTAGAATCCTTGAAATGCTAACTCATAATTTTGAATGCTTGTGTAAAACGTGACAGTGATAACTCAAACTGGATTTACTCACTGACCCCCTTGTCTGCTTGATGACCTAAAATAAATGCCATTGGCAAGCCTCCTTCTAGAATTCCAATTGTTTCAAGTAGGCACTTGTAGTTCAGAAAACTCCTAAGCAGAACTTTATTGACTGACAATGAAGGAAAAACTAAAGATATTTACTACATTTTACCACTATTTAACATGTGAATATGGGTGCTTGCTGAAGGGACTCAAAGGATCATAGAATAGTTTGGGTTGGAAGGGACCTTCAAAGACCATCTAGTCCACCCCCCCCCTGCAATGAGCAGGGACATCTTAAAGTAGATCAGGTTGCCCAGAACCACATCCAGCCTGGCCTTGAGTCTCTCCAGGGATGGTGCATTCACTACCTCTCTGTCAGCCTGTGCCAGTGTTTTACCACCCTCATTGTAAAGAATTTTTTCCTCACATGCAGCCTGAATCTCCCTTAGTTTAAACCCATCACCCCTCATCCTATCACAACAGGACCTGCTAAAATGTCTCTCCTCATTTTTCTTATAGGCCCCTTTTCAGAACTGAAAGGCTGCAATAGGATCTCCCTGAAGCCTTTTCTTCTCCAGGCTGGACAACCCCAACTCTCTCAGCCTTTCCTCATAGTAGAGATGCTCCAGCCCTCTAGTCATTTTTGTGGCCCTAAATGAATGAGCAGCCACTTTCTATGTTCATATATTTACTGAATGGGATGAAAATAAGGACTGCATTCATAAACTGTACTCACTGCAAAGATCTGATGTGAGAGGCAGCTTTCAGAAAGCTACTACTGACAATCACACATACAGATTGCAATGAAAGTTGCAACTAGTTTTCAGAATTACCACTGTACATTGCATACTAAAGTTATTCACTAGACACAACAAGTAAAAAACCCACAGTTTTAGAAAGCTATACCATAAAAATACAAGTTGACTTCCATTTCTTGTTTACTTTATTTACCCCGGAATACTTTGTGCCATGTCACCCTGTTTATGAATAGCTAAAATTAAAATATAAAAGAATAAACAGTGGATTTATTCAACTTCTAAGCATAGATAATACCATACCTTAAATACATCAAACTATGACATAATTCTTCATATAGTTCTCTCTCATTTCTTACTATGATTAGCAGGGAAATAATTAACATTTTCCTATAATTCGTCTTCAGAGCTGAAATGCTTTTAATTGTCTAGCCCCTTCCTCATTCTCTCTTCCCAGCTTTTCTCTCACATGCACTACAGATCCAGGCTAGTAACAACACTACACATTCTTGTTAAACACATTAAATAAATCAAAACATTTAAGTTTTGCACGAAAGTAGGCGGTTATTGCTATTCAGTAACTTTGTAGCCTTAATCATAACCAAAGCTAGCATAAAGTTACTTCATTCCTTTAGCAAATCTCTGATCCTGCAAAACAAATACATCCATTATTAAACCATCTCTACTCACCACGACAGATAGTTGCTCACATTCCTTGATATCACACTAAGAAGAAATCTGGGGGAGATGAGTGATACCCCTAGCAGGATCCCTGCATCTAGCTGCAGTGTTGTATTTTCACATCCCGTGACAAAGGCCTTTTGGAGCATTAACAAAGTGTGCAGACCAGGGATACACAGGCATTGTGCGTTTTGCTGGATCACAGCGCTGTTTTGTCATTTATTTGCTAAACTAATCCCAAACTGCTGAGTCTACACATTTGTTAACACATTTAGACCACATACTGTCAATGGAACAGCTATTTGAGCTGTCAGCTGTATTTATTTAGAGCTGTCAGCTCCAACACCCAGAGTGATTTATAGTATACCTTTTTGTTCATGCAGCTGATGGAAATGTTCAAAATAGCACCTAGAAATAGGCTCAACAAACCAAAACATATGACTACACAACACCATTTCTTACTCCTACGTTTGGAAATGCATTGGAAAGCACTCATAAAGTTGTTAATTGTCTCTTGATGCAGGGGTTGTCCTGCAAATTCCCAATGTACTTATGCAGAAGTTTAATTTTACATAATCATGGGCTGGGAATCACATTTCAAACTCAGGGTGATCTGATGCCACTTTGCAAATGTCAAGGTGTGGTGTTACTGCACATACAATTAAGAAGATGGGATGAAATTGGAACCACAATTGAAGTTTCTTCCTGCCCTGTTAATTTGTACATTAGAAATGTAATCATTTAATTGAACCTGTTATCACTTACTCTTTGTAGATTCTCACAGGTATTTTCACCAAAAGCAATGTCAAGTTACAGATGAGGTTGCACTGAGCAGAATTACATTTTAGCAATCACTACACATATATTCCCTTCCTAGGGGAAGTTTGGCACAGAAACACCTTCCCTAGCTATCACAAATCGTACTAAGTATCCACTGCCTGACCATACATGCCTCCACAATATATTCCTTGCAACAGTATTTGCATTACAGCAGAAAATAGGCACCCCAGCCACAGACCAGGATCTTCATTGTGTTAAATCCTGAATAAACACACATCTAAACGTTTAAGCCAACACAAGCCAAAATCCACAGTCACTGCAGCTTTATAATGTCTTTGGTAAGAAATGAATTAACTTGAGTATTAATTTAAAAAATGTCCATGTTTTACTTTAAGTAAGTAGTATAAAGAAATTAACTTCCCTTCTTGCATGCAGCCCTCATCAGCCCTCCCTGTAGTACGACAGAAGCGAGGAAGGGGACTTTGCTTTTCTCATTTGATATATTCAGTCCTGACTAGATGTTCCCAGAAATTGTCTCATCTGTGTTGCAGCCTTCAGATGGACAGACCATAACTCTAAAGGGCTGATCTGTGCACACTGATGAATTTTAACTCAGAGCCATAGGCTAGGAATCAGTAATTACTGCATTTGGATGCCTCACCTTGACACATTGGCCTGATCCTTACTCAGCCCCTGCTCAGAAAAAACCCATGGAGCTCAGCACAGCAGGTTCTTCCCCCATGCTGATTTCTTGTGCTGACAAAAAGCCCATGTCACCTTCCATCATGGCCCCTCTGAAAACACCTTCATTAAATTATAAATCGCATTCTCCCCGCAGCTTTGGAAATATTTCCCACAGCTGTTTGAGACCTGGCTGGCACTGACTGGAAATGCTCTGTCTGCTGCTGTGGCTCAGCCTGTTGTTCTGCTCCTACATGCCCAGTCCATATATGAGGAGCTGCTCAGTTCTTGAAACGTTTGGGTTAAATGCCATGCATGCAGGCAGGAAAGGTGATACAGAAGGTGGTGATGAGCTCCATGTCCATACTACATTTAGATGAATTCATGTATTCAAACACCATATTGAACCACAGAATCATAGAATGGTTTGGGTTGGAAAGGACCTTAAGATCATCCAGTTCCATCCCCCCTGCCATGGGCAGGGACACCTCACACTAAACCATGCCACCCAAGGCTCTGTCCAACCTGACCTTGAACACTGCCAGGTATGGAGCATTCACAGCCTCCCTGGGCAACCCATTTCAGAGCCAGCCTGAGAGGGCCTCAGCATGTCTGTCCACTTGACTCACCAGACCTCACAGCCAGCCAGCACCTCCATTTTGTGCCTCACAAGAGGAAGCCTACTCCATTTGGTGTTTCCCCTCCCTTACAAAAAGCATCCTCTTCCATTTTGTGCCTTCCACCCCTCACAAGCAGCAACCCCCTCCGTCTTGTACCTCTCTCCCTCACAAGAATTAGCCCCGTACATTTTGTGCCTCACAGGAGGCATACTCTTCCCTTTTGTGCCTTCCATCTTTCACAAGAAACGGCCCCTTACATTTTGTGCCTCCTCCCTCTCACAGAAGGCAGTCTAGTCTCCACTGTTTTGTGCCTTCCACTCCTCACATGAAACAGCTCCCTGCATTTTGTGCCTCCCCTCCCTCATAAGAGGTAGTCTCCACCATTTTGTGCCTCTTCTCCCTCACGGGAGGCAGCTTTCTGCTTCAGGCCAGGTACCAGCAGGGTCTGCAGCAATAAGCACGGTAGTAGGATGTGACAGAGCTGCACACTGACTCTGCCAGCCCAGGAGGAAACAACGGTCATCTCCCTCTTGCTTACACCACTCACTTTTTTGAGTATAGACATTAAATATTAAATTACTGCAGTCTTACAGCATCTCTATTCCACACAGTTCTCCTACAGCACTGAACTGGGCAGTCAAGCCATCACCTGCAGAAGCTGATGAGGACTATCCTGAATGACACTATTGGCACTGAAAGTGAATATAAACTAAGGGCGATGACAGGAACAGAAATAATAACTAAAGTGAAAAATTAAAAACACCCAAAATACTGTTTTCTTTCAGATTTAATCTGGCACAACTTCAAGAAAGCTTACCAGTACATTTTTCTAAATAACCTGCAGGAAAGAGGTGTTCAATTGTATCTTTTATTCTGTTTATTTGAGCAATTGTGTAACTTTATTCAGATTCCTAAATTTCATAATCCTATAGAGAAACAAAGTGATACACCTCTTAACCATGTAGCTGGTTTTACTTATCACTTAGATCACACTTAATTTTGATTAAAATTGGAATTGAAAAGTAACAGAAAAGCTTCATTATTTTATTTGTTAAATACCATTATCTTAAATGTTCCAGACAAAAACCCGAAAAATAATCACAATAAACATATTGTAGCTATTTATGGAGAAAGGATTACCTGCACTAAGTGTTGCTGGATGACATTCCTTTCAACATATTCAAACCTGTAGATGTCATCTTTCAGATCTCAAGATTTTACCTCAAAAAATAAAGCATTTCTACTTTTTTTTCAGCTATCCGGCAGCTCTGAACAAATCGGAAGGGAACTGAACTGCACTATGCTCGCTCTGCGTAGAAGGGGCGATAGCCAAATGGTGATTTGGCACTGCGGCACACACCGGTCCCACCGGCAGCAAACTTCCCTCCTGCAGAGGGGCTGCCTTGGAAGGGCTGTGCTGGGAAGCTCCGGCTGGGCTCACGGACCGCTCCCCAGGCACAACCTCTCGTTGAGGGAACACCCGACCCAAGCGGCTCCCCAACGCTCTGCGGGTCCCCAGATCCCCTGCCAGTGGCCTGAGCTGCTCCGGTCCAGCCAGCCCCGCGGCAGGAGAAGCCCCACGCTCCCGTCCCCACCTCCTCTCCCGGCGAGGCGCTGCGGAGCGCCGTCTCCGGCCGCGCCCGGTAGCACTTCCTGGCTGACGCCGTGCTCTTCCGGGACGGGGGCAGAAGGCGGAAGTGTTGTGGGGACGGTGCTGGCGGAGGGCTCAGGGCTGCTCCCCGATGGTGTGTGGCGGCTGCTGGCCCCAGGCGCTTTCGCTTCAGGCTCAGTATGGCGACAGCGGCGGTGGGGGGAGCTGGACAGGAGAAACAGCTCGCTCCGACTCTGCTGAGTTTCTTCATCTACAACCCCAAACTGGGGCCCAAGGAGGGCGAGGTACTGGAGGCGGAGGTTGCGCACCGGGATTGTGTGGGAAGGAGGGTTCCCTCCGGCCCGGCTCTGTCCTGGCCTCGGTTGCCGCAGGGGCCACCGCGGCGGCTGTCTCGGCTATGCTGTCCCTCTCAGAGTCTTGGGCCGCAGCATGTACCCGCGATATTAACGCTTCCCCCCGCGGAACATCCCGGAACAAAGGCGGTCTCTGGGCGCGGAGCGGTGCTGGGGAGGAGGGAGCTGCGGCCTGCCATGCCTTACATTGCCCGCGGCCGCCTTACCGGTACCTGAGTCTCGGGATCGGCCGCCTTAAGTGGGGCCGGGGACTAGTGCCACATGTGTCTCTGCTTCACACTAAAGAGGAATAAAGACCGAGTGTACTTTCAACAGCACGCAAAATACTGCAGCTCTTAGTAGCTCCGTTTTACTGATGCAGTAACTTTTTCTGAGAATAATTTTCTCCAGTTCGATATAGCATGGTAGAAACGTTAGTGTTTAACTTGGTTAAATTCAAGTTATTGCTAGTATTTCTTGCCATTGTGATCTTTAATAAGTAAATCAAGCTATAGTCTGTAGATAACAGCATATTGTATGGTTCACGTGATAATCTTCCATTTTAACAGTTTTTTAACAGGGCAGTGCATTTATTAATGAGCAGGGTGATGAGACTGAGTGCCCCCTCTGTAAGCCCCCGGTGCACTCCAAGCCAGGGAGATACTCTGGGCTGCTCTTCAGAGGCACCCTCAGCAAGCTGAGAAAATGGGCTAGCAGAAACACTGTGGAGCACAATGAAGGCAAATGCAAAGTTCGGTGTTGGATGAAATAATCTTGTTCATCGTGAAAGGCCAGAGGCTGGCTGGTTAGAAAGCAGCTATGCAAAATAGGACCAGGGAGTCCTAATGACCAGGTTGTACGTGAATCAGCAGTGTGCCCCTGTGGCAGTGAAAACGGTATGGGGTGTGTGAGTGAGAGTGTGTTAGCAGGTCAAGTGAAGAGGTTGCTATCCCCCTGCTCAGCACTTGTGAGGCTGCTGGTGCACACTGTGTTTCTCTGGGGCTTCCTGGAGTAGGAAAAATACTGCCCAACTGGAGCAAGCCCAGTGGAGGGCCCCCGAGTCAGTCAAGCAGCTGCAGTCTGTGATGTACCAGCTAAGCCTTAGATAATTGGATCTGTGCAGCCTGGAGAAGAGATGATGTGGAAGGGTGTCTGATGGCTGTCTTCACCTGCCTAAAGGGTGGCTATAGATGATGGAGTCAGGTTCTTGAGGTAATGGTGATGAGACAGGATGAGAGGTAATGGAAGTCCAGCAAGCGAAATTGTAATGAGATAAAAGAGAAAATTCTTCATAATGAAATTGTCAAACAGCAGAGCAGGGCCTGGAAAAGTTGTGGAATCTTCATCTTTGGAGATATTTAAAACTTGACTGGACGTGGCCTTGAGCAATCTGAGCTAGCTTTGAAGCTAGCCATGGTTTGATGTGGCTTTGAAGCTAGCCTTGCTTTGAACTAGCTGTGAAGTGATTGGAGCCTATGATTTCAAGAGCCTTCAATTTATAAAGCATTTTGAGATCTCTCGGGATGACTGACTGCTTAAAAGTGCTTAAATATGCCTTTTATGTGTTATTACAGAAGCCTGTTTAGGTACAAGATAAAATTCTATCTAGGGATTTAAGGGATTAAAGTTAAACCCAAACAAACCATGGACCCAGTATTCTTTAGCTCCAATTCTGTTAAATTCATTTGCCTTGATTCTTTTCTCAAATTTTAGGAAGAAAAGAAGATTCTCTTCTATCACCCAAATGAAGTAGAAAAGAATGAAAAAATTAGAAATGTGGGACTCTGTGAAGCTATAGTACAATTCACAAGGTATGAAGTCTGATGGCATGGGTTGTTGTATTAGCACTAGTAGTTTAAATTTCCCAATCATACATTTTCTTTTTGTGAGTGTGCATTAATTTCTGTGTCTACATACATGTTTTCTTTCCAGGACCTTCAGTCCGACAAAACCTGCAAAATCCCTACATACACAGAAGAATAGACAATTTTTCCATGAACCTGAAGAAAATTTCTGGATGGTCATGGTACTTATACATGTGATATGCATGCTTCTAAAACACTGTATCGCAATGTTCTCAATGCATTCTGCATTGTCTAATACCAGCCTATTCCACTTTCTAGGTTGTACGGAATCCCATAATAGAAAAACACAAAGATGGAAAGCCAGTTTATGAATATCAGGAAGAAGAATTATTGGTAATACTAAACTCTTGAACTCTTCCTCTTTTTTTTGTTTTCTAATGGGATATATTGTATTTTAAGAGTAACTTCAGATGTATCTTAGTTTGAGTCTTCTTGAATCGCTGCCAAATTGATTATATATATATGTATCTATCCGTAAATGAAAAAAGGGCAATAGAGTTTAATGAAGAGAGTAAGGCAGAGAATTATCCATATGGCAGTCCCAACAAGCATCAGTGAAATATGCAGCTTTTAGCTTGGAATGGGCCCATAATTATTAGGATCTGTTTGTTTAATGAAGCTCTTCCAACAACCTAAAATCAGTGTATTTTTAGTAGGTTTAAGTATACATGTTACTTCTTAAGGCTGCTAGTAATCTTTGCTAATAATCTGGAAAAACAAACAGCTCAACTATCTTGGGAGTTCTTGTCCAAACTACAGTATCAGCTTAACTGTATACTGGTCAGCTTAACTGTATACTGGAAAAGCAGTTGGTCAGGTGGGATGATAGCTGAAGCCGATGTTTCTGCTGCCTCCATTCATTACAGTGTGCACTAGTTCTGTTCCTCGTTGTGTTCTAAAAGAAGATTGCTGTCATAGGCACGCTATTTTGCCAGACAAACAATAAAATAGTCCTTTTTTCATCTGGGTTAAGATCCTAGCGCAATAAAAACCTGCTGTGGTGTCCCACCAACTTTAGCCTTTGGCCTGGATGAAGAGAAAACCTGTCAGAAATAAGTCTGTTTTCACTGACCACTGGTGTTAGGGAAGGGCAGTATTTGTAACTGCTATCTTGTGCATGAGTTAACAAGGTGCTTTTGGTATTAAATCAAAGAGGGGGAAAGGGACTCCCTTTATTGAAATAGGATTTTATAAGTACAAAGAAATTTCTGGACACTGGCTGAAAATGCAGTTTAACATTTCGGAGACTGATTTCTCCAATTCATGTATTTGCTGGCCCTTTGAAAACAGATTATGTTCAGCTCAGCCAAAACACTTGAAATTCTGCCTCTGCTTATACTAATGTCCTGCTCTCTTTTCTGCAGGACAAGGTGTATAGTTCGGTCCTACAGCAGTGCTACAGCATGTACAAGGTAGAGTTAATTACTACAGCCTCCTCTTCTGGGCAGAGGAATTGGTCCTCGTGGTACCATTTGGATGTGCAAGCTCATCTCTTCCTGAGAACAACATCTGTAATGCTTGTGTTGTACTTTAATAATAAAGTTATTTGTGCTAGTTCATTAGCTTATTGTAAAAATAGAAGCCTTCTCATTTCTGCAAAGTCCAGACTTCTTCTTTATGGGCAGTTACACTACTAAGCATTTGATTTTGATGGTATTAGATATTATCTGTTGAAGAAACAATACTGGATAAAGGCCATGAATCTGAGCTTTTACAAAACAAGCACATAAGATACTTAAGCCACATAAGTAATTTCTCTACCATCAAAAAGTTTCTTTTCCTTCTCTCATGTTGCCTCTGCTACCATACATATTTGCAAATCTGAGAGATGTTTTTTTCAATAAAGAAGGGGTACATTTGAATCTATGTGGAGTTCAGATATTGAGAAATGGGAGCTGTATTGTAATCTAGCTATATTCATAGTCAAGTGCTAAATTACTGTAAATGATTCATCAACTGACTGATTTTTCTCTTTTAACAAATAGCTTTTCAATGGCACATTTCTGAAAGCCATGGAAGATGGAGGTGTGAAAGTTCTCAAGGAGAGACTAGAGAAATTCTTCCATCGGGTAAGACCTTATTTTTCAGGCACATACAGTCTATTTCTGCATTGGAAATAAAATGCAAACATCTTCTCTTAGGCAGCTGTAGTGTGAGTATAAAACATAGGCAGTGGAAAAAGTATAGTGTCAACACAACAAATCTGGTTACTCATTTTTTTTCAAAGACTTCTGATTCCTACTAATGTAGTAAGTTCTTTAAGTGGAGCTGAAACACAACTACAGGGTTATGGCTTGATGGAACAGGTTAGCTGTTGCATGTTTTTTCTGAAGAATGATGCTTGTTCTTTGAAAGTGCTGTTTTAACATTTGAACTGGTTATAAATGTGATGATAATCTGTGCAGACCTACTAGAGTAACTGCTGCAGAATCACTCGGGTTGGAAGGCATATGGAGAAGTTATCCAGTTCAGTCTTCTACACAAAGTTAGGGTAACACAGAATTCAAAGTAGACTGCGCAGGGATTTGGCTGGTTGAGTCGTGGAAATATGCAGGGATGGAGATCCCACAACCTGCACGCACAGACTGCACGCACAACCTGCATGCACAGTCCTGTAGAACTGTGAAGTGATGGATAACTGTAATTTTTAACTTCCCCCTTATTCTTTCCACCCCCCATGTGGAATTAGTAGTCATGGCTGATAAGCTTTTAGGAAATCCTGCCTTTGTTGTAACTAGTCTTCAGATTTTAATTT